TTTTATGCCATTGCAAATGATGTATAGGGTTTTTTTTGCTGCTGGTATATAGAACTATAATTGATTTTTGTATATGGACCTTGTACCCTGCAACCTTGTTAAGTTTATTTATTAATTCTAGTCATTTTTTGGAAAATTCCTTAGGATTTTCTACGTACACAATCATGTTGTCTGCAAATAAAAGCAGTTTTACTGTTTCCAATAGGTATGCACTTTGTTTATTTTCTTGACTTTTTTCTTTTTCTTAAGTTTATATTTACTTATTTTGAGAGAGAGAGAGAGAGAGAGAGACAGAAAGAGAAGGAGAGAGAGAATCCCAAGCAGGCTCCATGCTGTCAGTGCAGAGCCCAATGCGGGGCTTGAACTCACAAACCACAAGATATGACCCAAGCTGAAACCAAAAGCCAGATGCTCAACCAACTGAGCCACTCAGTTGACCCGTGACTTACTTCTTGCCTTATTTCCTCTTTATTAGGAGGAAAGTGTTCAAATTTAAGTGTTCAAAATTAAGTAGGTTTTTGGCATAGCTTTTGTAGATGCCCTTTTTTAGATTGAAGATATTGGTAATTTGTGTTCTTTCCTTCTTCTTTTTTTTTTCTCAACTTTTTAAAAAGTTTTACTTATTTAAGTAATCTGTACACCCCATATGGGGCTCAAACTCATGACCCCAAGGTCAAAAGTAGCATGCTTTTCCGACTGAGCCAGCCAGGCATCCCATCCTTCTCCTATTTTTTTTTTAATTTAAAGTTTATTTATTTATTTTGTGCCCTATCTCTTATCCCCCTAAGGCTCCCTATCTCTCTCCTGTTTTGTGATCATTGTAGCTATGGGTTTTGATTTTAATAAAATCAAAGAAGTTTAATAAACTTCTCAAAAGATTAACTTTTAGTTTCATTAACTTTCTTTTTTTGTTTGTTCATTTCTATTTCATTTTGCTCCACTATTTTTCTTTCTTTCTTTATACTTACTACAGATTTAATTTGTTCTTTTTTCCCAGCTCCACCAAGTGAAAGCTTAGATCATTAATTTTAAAACATTTTTTTCCCGAATACAAACATTTAGAGCTGCAAGTTTCCCTATAAGCACTATTCTGTTGTGTCCCACAAATGTTGATGTTTCCTTCACCATCATTTGGTTTGAAGTATCTTCTGATTTCTTGTGTGAATCCCAGTCATTTTAAAAGACTCAATTTAAATTTTATGTCTTCTATTTTCTTTCTTAAAAAAATTTTTTTAATGTGTATTTATTTTTGAGAGAGAGAAAGAGACAGAGCATGAGCAGGGGAGGGCAGAGAGAGAGGGAGACACAGAATCTGAATCAGGCTATCTGAGCTATTAGCGCAGAGCCTGACGGGGGCTCAAACTCACAAACAATGAGATCATGACCTGAGCCAAAGTTGGACTCTTAACTGACTGAGCCACCCAGACACCCCTCTTCTCTCTTCTTCTCTCTTCTGATGACTCAAGCCTATTCTTTGTTCTCTACTTCTTTCATTATATATTTTCTCTTTGTAGTCTCGTGTATCATCTTAGTCTCTAATTTTCCTTGTGCATACACATTTGTTTTATGTAATTGTCTTTTACTGACTCCCTAAATGAACAATAGGCTCCTTGATTGCAAGAACTGAATCTAATGAGGGCTTTGTAACCTTTTAGTATCTTGTCTGTAGTTGGCATACAATTAACAAATATTTCTCAAGCACCATTAACATGGAAGCTACTGTGGGTGATAAAAGTTGGGTATAATCCAGATACTCTTCAAGAAGTTAACTAATTTTTAAAAATATGTTAACTACTGACATGAAATAATGTATAATAAGAGCCAAATAGAGGAATGGGCATTAAACACTACAGGCATTTAGAAGGGGAGGAGAAGACATTAGAGGGAATTATTTGAGGAAGACTCCAGAGAGGAAGTGGGATTTGAACTGGCCCCAAACCAGAGGAGGAGATGTTATTCCTTCTGTGAGAAAAGCATGTGTAAAGGTCCTGAGGTAGAAATGTAAATTGTCCATTTGGAAGACAGGAAAGAGACCAGTGTGGAAAAGCTGAGGAAGAGAAGTCAGGGATATTGTGTAGAGGGCTCCAGTTAAAAGCTGAGGCTATTGAGGTTATGGGATTGTCACTTCTGATGGCAGATCTGAGATACCATCTTGGTGCTCATGCAGTCTTCTATCCTACTTGACCCTTCTATTCTTGCTTATGCCAGTCAGTGCTTACCAGCCGTGCTCTCTGAGCAGCATTCGAAGGAGTTCCCAGGCCAAATCTTCCACTATTTTGAACTTGGTCATGGGCACTGTTTGTTTTCTCTTGGGGATTTCATTGCTTATTTGCCTCTGTAGCCCAGTCACTGCTCTGAAGCAGCAATTCTGGTTTTTTAAGCTGATAGCCGGGAAGCCTAGTGATTTGGTTTGTTTCCATGAACCCTGGTTTAGCTCCACCCTTCCTGCTCAGCTTAAAGAGTGTCTGTTTTCACCCTTTATTAAGAAAAAGGAAACCACTTTTTTCAAAAGAATAGCATAGAACAGAGAACCCAAGTGTTTTTCTCTGGAAAGGGCAAAGTGCTCTCTCTACAAACTGGCATTGATTGTGGCCCTTGGTGCCTTGATGCCCTTTCACTCATTCACTCAGGAGTCTGTCTTCATCTCTCCCTTCTGATGCATCTGGCTGGAACAGCAGAGGCGTTTCCATCCTCCAGAATTTTACTGTGGATCTTTGGTGTCCATAATCCGAAGCTAGATTTCTTTGGTTGTGTGTGTGTGCAGCAGCAATCCAAGACTTGCAAGCAGCTGCAGGAACTTGCCGTAGAATTGGGACAGCAAGGCTCCTCACGTGGTGGATACCAGCCAGCAAATTCGAAGCTGGGCATTGGGGCCCCCCAGAGAAGGCTTCCAGAAAACCTGGGGATTGAGGGACTGGATCTGGATTCAGGAGGGGATAATGTAAACACTGTCATAGAGTTGCCACTGAGTGCTGCGTGGCAGGGGACAGGAAGAAGGCCCCTTAGCTGAGACAGAAGAGTGTGTATGGAGGGGGTGGGTAGAGAAATGCAGCTCTGGTGGAGGCTGTTTCTTTAGGCTTCCTGGGGCCTAGATCTATGCTGAAACAAGAGTCAGAATTCCTGGAACAAAATGCCTTTCTAACTTAGATTTATTTATATGCCCACATGTAAAATTGACTCTGCCAATAATAATCCATCTTTAAAAATGTGGTGTGAGCTGTGGCCAGTTGGGTTTCTGGAGGCCACATTGAAATCAGCCTCAAGCCTGTGGAAACTAATTTGACAATAAACTATTTATTAAAAAAAAAAAAAAAAGGGTGTTATGCTGAGCGAAATAAGTCAGGCAGAGAAGGACAAATATCATATGTTTGCACGTATAGGAGGATTAGGAGGAACTTGACGGAGGAACAAGGGGGAGAAGAAGGGGGGAAATGGTGGGGGAAAGGGAGAGAGGCAAACCATGAGAGACTCTTGAATGCTGACAAAAACTGAGGACTGATGGATGTGGGGGGGAGGGGGGGTGGGCATGGAGGAGGGCACTTTGGGGATGAGCACTGAGTGTTATGTGGAAACTAATTTGACAATAAACTATTTATAAAAAAAAAGAAAAAAGAAAAAAAAGAAATCAGCCTCAAGCCGTGTCCTGCTAGTCTTCTTGGGACCCTGCCTGCTGGGCCAGGCCATGGAAGAGGGAAATTCTGCTTCTCCAGTGCTCAGGGCTGGGTAGAGGTATCTTCAGGTGTCCCCCACTCACCACTAATTGCAGAGTGGTACTCCCTCAGCCCACCGGGGGCTGGGGAGGGGTGGTCCGCCTGGGCTGGGCTGGGGTGGGTGAGTCTAGAGCTCCCCAGGGCACACTCGGGGCAGCCTTACCAATCTCCCCAAGGGACTGGAGTCCGAATCGGGCAACCTAATATATGCCTTTGGAGGTAGAAATCAGGGAACCAGCCAGATTAGGATACCTAATAGAAGATATTCTTTATCTCCTGACTTGTAGGTTTGAGGAATTGTGGGACTTTGATCTTAAAGTTTAAAAAAAATCTTTACTTATTTTTGAAAATGAGAAGGCAGGGAGGGGCAGAGAGAGAGAGAGAGAGAGAGGAGGACAGAGGATCCAAAGCTGACCCCATGTTGACAGCAGAGAGCCTGACATGGGGCTCAAACTCACAAACCGTGAGATCATGACCTGAGCCCAAGTTGGACGTTCAACAGACTGAGCCACCCAGGTGCACCCCATGGGGGAGTTCGATTTTAAAAATGTACTGCCTCTGGGGCTATTCCTTTGGGGACTTAAGTAGCTTCCTCCAACCTCAGAGCACATAACAAAATAAAAATGGGCATAAATTGCTAATTTAAAATGAGAAAATATCCCTCGTCCCCAACCCTCCCTGATTGGGGCCAGCCAGTGACCATGTGATGGATCATGCCGACTCCCCTTCATGTTTCCCAGTGGGAAGCCGCCCCCTCCCCTCTACTCCAGGGACCTGACTCCTGGCTCAGAGCTGTTTGCCCTTTTCAGGGATACCCTTGACCCTTGACCCTCAGACCAGCCTTATTGGCTGTGGGAAGTGCCAGTGTCAAGCTCTGTGACAAGTTTGAGGACAAAGGGAAAATTGTGTAGCCCTGGTTAATGTGGCCCTGCGGTGGGGGTGGGTTTCCACTCCACAGGGGCTCCTGCCCTGTCCTGATGTGATGAGGCATGGTGGGTCGGGGCAGAGAGCGACAGAGCCCGGCCGGATCCCTCATCCATGTGCTCTCCATTTCCTGTCATGTCCTTCCTGTTTCATGGCCCTTCGGTTTCATAACTTTGAAAATTCTCCCACAGCCACAGAGACTCTTAGTTCTTCTATTTTGTTTGCTTTGGTCACATACGTCTTGGAGGTGACGTTCTTCAGAAACTCCCCACTGCTGGCTTCCCCTGTGCTCTGCCCTGTCCACTCTCCAGGCTCGGGGCTGCCATCATCACTGTCCCTGCCCTGACAAATGTCCTTTCTCACCAGAGCTCAGACATCCTCAGCACCGCTGGCTACGACAGTATTATCCAGCACCTGAACAACGGCCGCAAGAACTGCAAGGAGTTTGAAGACTTTTTAAAAGAAAGGTACACACTGTTCTTCCTTGAAAATGGAGGGGAAGACAGAAACACTTCCACACAAAGAAACAATTTTCTACTTTCTGTTTGTTTCTAAGTGTTCGCAAAACCCTGTGCTCTAGGCTATGCAAGTAAATGGTATCTCTGTCCTAAAGTTCTTAGAAACCAGCTTGACAGATGAGATTCATGAATGAAACAGCAAAGAAAACATAATAAAATGCTAAGTGAGCTGATACCCACAGCACTGGGAGGGGGACCGTGAAAGACTAGGACATAAAGAGGGGCAGCTTCATAGCAGACAGGACCTAGGAGCGGCCCTCGGAGGGTGGGGTGGGTTTGATAGGCGGAGGGGTAGCCAGGTGTCTGTGGGAGAACAGCAAACTTGCAGGTGGAGGAGATGAGCATGACTTAAGGAGCCTGATTCAGAGACCATGGGCGGGGAGGGACCGAGCAGTGAGAAAGATGGGGGTGGGTGGGTCACAGCACTGCAGATGGCAGGGAGCTTGGTGGGGAAGGGCGGTGACTGGCATGGTGTAGAGGAGATTTCCTTTCCTTTCCTTTTTAAATTTTATTTGATTTTTAAAGTTTATTTATTTTGAGAGGTTGGGGGAGGGCCAGAGAGATCGGGACAGAGAGTATCTGAAGGAAGCTCCCTACTGTCAGTGCAGAACCCAATGGGGGCTCAAACTCATGAACCATGAAACTGCGACCTGAGCTGAAGCCAAGAGCCAGACGCTTAACCAACGGAGCCACCAAGTGCCTTTCCTTTTCTTTTTGTAATGGATAAGGCATTGTTTTTTTGTAATTCCATACTTAATGGGGTAAGATAGTTTAGTGGAAAATCGTATTCGTCCAGAGTACTCAATTTCCCAGTGATTCTGGATGAAGGAGGACTTTAGGTGGATTTTTCGCCAAAGATCTGGGTTGTTGCCAGGACCCAAACTAATGAACAGATTCTTTTTGTAACACAGGGGAAGGTTTAGAGCTTGGAGATACAGACATTAAAGTATTTTTCCATCGTCTTTTAATTTTCTTTTCAAGAGAACATTGGGCAAGATCACACCTACATAGTTGTCCACCCCAGATGAAGAGGCCTCTGTCACTGCCACACTATGGATCTCAGGAGGGGTGGGCGGAGCGAGGTCTCTCCACTGTCAGCCTCCAGGAAGCTGGCCATGCACCACTTCCTTCCAGGCTCAGCTTCCCTCCTCCACCCAAGCTGGTTGACAGTGGTGACACCACCTTACCACTTTTCTTTCCCTTGATGGGCATTGGAGGTAGGCTTCCTCCATTCCTCAACAGAGCTCTGGAGGCAACATGCACAACTTCACAACTGCAGGGCATGCATATTATAGAATATCCCTTGATTTTGGTGCTCCTCTTCCAGTTAGTGCTTTTATCGATTTTCGGCTGGGAGTGAACTAGCCTTGCCATACCTCCGTGAGAAGCTGTGCCAAACACCCATGACAGAAGCTTCTGCTGCCTGGTGGGACCATCTGAGAGTCCCCTGACATGATGCAGATGGTGGTGTAACTCAGTGCCTACATTTTTTTTTAAATGTAACACTCAGCAAGAAATAAATTTTACCTCTGTCCAGTACACACATGCATAAAACAAGAGTTAACACACGTCACTACCCTATTATTTTATTTAATTCTATGTATTTAAAAATGGCTGATCGTAGCCCATTGAATGGATTTATGGTTTGCAAGTGAGTTTTTTTTTTTTAATGTTTTATTTATTTCTGAGAGAGAGAGGCAGCGTGAGCAGGGGAGGGTCAGAAAGAGGGAGACACAGATCTGAAACAGGTCCAGGCTCTGAGCTAGCTGTCAGCACAGAGCCTGATGCAGGGCTCGAACCCACAAATTGTGAGATCATGACCTGAGCTGAAGCCGGTCGCTTAAGCGACTGAGCCACCCAGGCACCCCGGTTTGTAAGTGAGTTTTGACCCACAGTTTGAAAAACACAAGTGCAGATAGATCCCAGAAGCTAAGTTCTCACTTTTTTTTTTTTTAATATTTTTATTTATTTCTAGGAGAGAGAGNGAGGGAGTCACAGACTGAAACAGGCTCCAGGCTCTGAGCTGGCAGTCAGCACAGAGCCTGATGCAGGGCTCGAACCCACGAACCGCGAGGTCATGACCTAAGCGAAAGTCGGACGCCTAACCGACTAAGCCACCCCAGCGCCCCAAGTTCTCACTTTTTAAATATCTCACAAAAATATATGGAAAAGAGAAGGAAATATATGGAAATTAAAAATTGGTAAATATTTTTATTGTATTTTTTAAAGTTTCTTATTTATTCATTCATTTATTTATTTTTAGACAGAGATAGCATGAGTGGGAGAAGGGCAGAGAGAGAAAGAGACAATGGATAAGGGGCAGGGAGGGAGAGAATCCCAAGCAGGCTCTGCATTGTCAGCACAGAGTCTGACACGGAGGTTGAACTCACAAACTGTGAGATCATGACCTGAGCCGAAACCAAGAGTGAGACATTTAACCGACTGAGCCACACAGATGCCCCTATACTGTATTTCTAGTATATGGTCATTTTTCTGCAGGAGTTTTATAGCAATAGAAACCAGTCCTGTGTTCTCTGATTTTGGGAACGAATCTGCTGGCATCAGGCCAGATTGTCAGATACATATGCCCTGTATGTGGAGGTTTGAGGCCTTTGGTCAAGTGGCCTGCCTGGGCCCTGAGCTTCCTATCTGGTGGTATGATTGCCAGGAGGAGGCTGCAGTCACTGAGGGGGTGTGCATTCCTTCCCTGTGTCCTGTTCAGGGATAATTTGGGTGAAGAAGTGCAGGGTTTTGCACCTCTTCAGGGTTTTGGTTGCCTGGCCTTTCTTCTTGCTCTGGTAGGTGTTGTGGGGTGCCCGTGGTTCAGAGGGGTTATGTCACTTGCCTAAGGTCAGACAGCCAATAAAGGATAGAGCTGCTTTCTTTTTTTAAAAAAATATTTTAGTTTATTTATTTTTGAGACAGAGACAGAGCATGAGAGGGGGAGGGGCAAAGAGAGAGGGAGACACGGAATCAGAAACAGGCTCCAGGCTCTGAGCTGCCTTCACAGAACCCGACATGGGGCTCGAACCCACGAACCACGAGCTCATGACCTGAGCCGAAGTCGGCTGCTTAACCGAATGAGCTACCCAGGCGCCCCAGGGTAGATCTGCTTTCAAACCTAGGAAAATTGGTCCCTGGAACCCTCTTCTTTATACCTGGTACAGTACCTGGGTCACCTTGAGTGGTAGGGAAAGGGGTTATTTGGCGCCTTAGACAGACCATGCTACACCAAGTAATGATTAGTTGTTTTTGTGAGACCTGCCAACTGCAGAGTTTATATTCTGAAATTCTCCTCTCTTTGCTGCAGTTTAGTTGTGTTTTTGAATTGGCTCAGTCAGTTAAGCGTCCGACTTCGGCCCAGGTCATGATCTCACGGTTCATGAGTTCGAGCCCTGCATTGGGCTTCCTGCTGTCAGCACAGAGCCTGCTTCAGATCCTCTGTCCCCCGTCTCTCTGCCCCTCCTCTGCTCATGCTCTCTCTCTCTCTCTCACTCAAAAAAACAAAACCAAACCAAAACAAAAAAATCATAAAACATTGATTTGATTGTGAATGAGGAACTATGTAGGGTGGTAAAAAGGATACTCTTTGAGAACATGGGAAGAGGGGTGGGCCTCAGGAGTGCAGCGTTTAGTGGAATTATCTCTTACTCCACTTTAAAAATATATATGAATAAAAATACATTTTTGGCAAATTAATCCTTGGGTCATAGTTTTGAATAGTTAGTCTGTAATGCGCTGGCCTGTGCCGGTCAGGGGGCCATGTTGGGTTTTGCCAAGATGTGACGGCCATCCTGGCGACTGTGACAGGAAGTCCATCCGTCTTCTCACAATTCCCCCTCACATGTAGAGGGAGTTTTGTGGGAGTTTTGCATTTTAGAGAATGCCATTATATCTGAGCTTCTCCTTTTCAGAAGTGCAATTTTTCCCTCCAGGGGAGTGCCATGCGTTTTAACTAAGAATCAGTCTGGAGAAAGACTCAGAGCTCTGTGTTATGTTCCCTTTAGGGCATCAATTGAAGAGAAATATGGCAAAGACCTGCTAAATCTCTCCAGGAAGAAGCCATGTGGACAGCTGGAGATCAAGTAGGTACCACGCTTCTTTCCTGTTTCCAGATTGACCAGTAATGCCAGGAGCTCCAGCCCTTCAGCAGAGCTGGCCCCCAGGGTGAAGTGTGTCGCATGAAAACAGTTTTTAACTGTTGTTTTATTACTTATTTTGAGTTCTTAAAAATCTAGAAAAATAGAAAGAAGGCTAAAATGAACTGCAAAGCCACAGCCCATTTGTAAAATGTTCTAGATTTTCTTTGAAGTCTTTTTCTATGTATAATTAAAAAAATTTTTTTTAATGTTTTATTTATTTCTGAGAGAGAGAGAGAGCATGAGCAGGGGAGGGTCAGAGAGAGAGAGGGAGATACAGAATCTGAAGTAGGCTCTAGGCTCTGAGCTAGCCATCAGTACAGAGCCCGACACAGGGCTCGAACCCACGAACCATGTGATTATAACCTGAGCCGAAGTCAAACGCTTAACTGACTGAGCCACCCAGGCACCCCTATGTATACTTTTTCATAGGTAGGATTATATTATATATGATTTTGTATCAGACATTTAACAGAGGGGCTTACACACACACACAAACACACACACCCCCCCCACGGTTTGTGATAGCTCTGAGAGATTGTCTGTATGATTTTATAGTTCTCACCACTGATGAGAGGTTTCTGTACATGTTCTTCTGTCCCTCACTGAATACAGGGATGGCCCCGACATGGTGTCTGCCTTAGGAACACACTCCCTCTCATCTACAGGGCTGGCTTCATGGGCAGTCATACAGGAGCCTACACTTTGAAGGGCTTCACAATGGGTTTGGTGCTCTTTGCTATCCCCAGTTTGAAATTCTTTTTTTTTTTTTTTAATGTTTTATTTATTTCTAGGAGAGAGAGAGAGAGAGAGACAGTGTGAGCAGGGGAGGGTCAGAGAGAGAGGGAGTCACAGACTGAAACAGGCTCCAGGCTCTGAGCTGGCAGTCAGCACAGAGCCCGACGCGGGGCTCGAACCCACGAACCACGAGATCATGACCTAAGTGAAAGTTGGACGCTTAACCGACTAAGCCACCCAGGAGCCCCACCAGTTTGAAATTCTTAATTTATAAACAAGGGGTCCCACATTTTCATTGTGTGGTGGACCTCACAAATTTCGTAGCCCATCCTACTCATATGGAAATTTCTAGATTCCTTCTCCAAAATAAGCATGTTGAGGGAGGCTTGGGAGAAATAGTCTCAGGTAGACTTTACAGGCTTTTGCAGACCTAATCACATCCATACTGACTTGCATCCTGCTTGGGCTGTGCTATAGACGACCGCCTAGATGCCCTGGGGTCTGTGTCCTAGCAGGGGTCCTAATGGGGGAAAATAAGACATGACCTTCCTCTTCTCTTGCTTCTAACACACACACATACACGCACACACTCACACACACCCCACTCCAGAAATGTGCTGGTTTATAGAAAAGAAACATTGAAAACGATTTAAAATATTAATAGTTATATAAGCCTAAAAAATGTGTTACCCCCTGATATCAGACATTGGGACAAGAAAAATTCGTTGATTATACTATATTTTATGTATTTACTTAAATACATAAATCAGTGAAAGGTAAAAAGACAAACATAAAGAATGGCTGTATACCCAAATCACCTAGATTTAATAATTATTCATGTTTGCCATATTTTCTTAACATGTTTTTTTTTTTGTGAAAATGTTTAAATTGGAACATTTTAAATTTAAACCTGGAATATTCTCCAAGAGTACTTAGTTCCTTTTAGTGATTAATTGTATGTAGAGATGAAACCCTGAGTTCTAGCATTGGTCATTGTCACAGAGATGTCACCGTTTCTAGGCACTTTAATGGGACAGATTTTATATTATAATATAATATAATTTATTTATTTATATTTGTATTTTATTATTTTTAAGTTGTTTTTAAAATTTTTTTTACATTTTATTTACTTTTGAGAGACAGAGAGAGACAGAGCGCAAGTGGCAGAGGGACAGAGAGAGACAGAGATACAGAATCTGAAGCAGGCTCCAGTCTCGGAGCTGTCAGCACAGAGCCCGACACAGGGCTCGAACTAACAGACCGTGAGATCATGAGCTGAAGTCAGATGCTTAACTGACTGAGCCACCCAGGTGCCCCTCTAATTATCACACTTTAAAGAAGGACTGGTATTCTTATCAGAAAGTGATCATAATTCCTATATAATCATTGGGGGAAATGAAACATAAGGAATTTGGGCGCCTTGCTCTACCCAGGTGGACAGTAAAGAATTTATAATGCTTTGCCTGGGATTGAGAGAGCAAGAAAGAGGAAAACTGGACTTTAAGAAATCTTGATCCTTTGCTGCCTTCCCAAGCTTACATGCAGAGATGAGTTTACAGGACATGACACTTGGGCAGAGAGAAGCAGGCAATGACATTATAATAAAATTGTACAGGGGTTCCTAGGGGGGCTCAGTTGGTTAAGTGTCCGACTCTTGGTTTCAGCTCAGGTCATGATCCCATGGTTTTGTGGGCTCAAGCCCCGTATTAGGCTCCTTGCTGGCAGCATGGAGCCTGCTTGGGATTCTCTGTCTCCTTCTCTCTGCCCCTCCCCCACTTGTACTGTCTCTGTCTCAAAATAAATAAATAAACTTAAAAAAAAAAAGGATTGTACAACAATTTCCAGAACTGAAGTTATATATGTGCTTGTTTTTCAGCACTCTGAAGCAGGCCCTTGAGGTCTTCAAGAAGCGTAAGTGATTCTTTAAACTATGTTTGCTGCCCTTGGCCAGTTCTGTGGGTTTTAATTTGAACAGCCATCAAACTGGGTGGAAAAAAGTTAGAGCAGCTCCCAAGGGGAGAAGTAGCTCTGCAAAGTGGAAATGAGCTGGAGAGCCTACCTTCCACACTCTCACATCATGATGTGATTTGACTTACTTTGAGGAGGGGTTCTCACACTTGAAATCCAGGCCGAGGCCCTCACAATTTGATCTTCAAAGGCTCCTGTCCAGGTCTTTTTTTATTAATTTATTAAAAATTTTAATTAGTTTATTTATTTTTTGAGAGAGAGAGAGAGAGAGAGCGAGCAGGGGAGGGGCAGAGAGAGAGGGAGAGAGAGAATCCCAAGCAGGCTCCGCACTGTCAGTGCAGAGCCCAATGTGGGGCTTGAATTCACGAACTGTGAGATAATGACCTGAGTTGAAATCAAGAGTCAGACACTTAACTGATTGGGCCACCCAGGTGCTCCTTTTTAAAGTAATTGGTACACACAACATGGGGTTCAGACTGACGGTTCTGAGATCAAGAGTTGCATGTTCTACCAACTGAGCCAGCCGGGCACCCTCCTGTTCAGTTCTAATAGTCCCCAGTCCTGGTAGTCAGAAACTGCCTTTAAGGCTTTCTGTTTTTCAACAGTACTTGCTGCTTTCAAGCTAAGGATTTTAACCTGGTGTCATATGTATGATATGTGCTTAAAGTGTTTCTGTAGCTAGCTGACTGGTTCTAGACGTTTGTAAATGTTAGCTAAACAGATATTCATCTTAACCTTTCCATGGAAGGTGTCTCTTCCCTCTTGAACTCACTAATGAATACATTTCTAAAGGTAGAAATGTTTGTTTCATGTTTTTTATATGCCCTGCAAGGCTAACCATGGGACCAAGGGAGCTTCTGTGTAGACTGGGATTCCTAAGCCTATGTACTTGCTATTACTTGACTTACTTCCGCCCCCGACAATAGTTTATTTCCTTCTTATTAAAAAAATATATTTATCTTAAAAACTCAAGTGAGACAACTATCAAGAAGATAGTAAATACCTAAACATTGATTTCCTAGTGATAAGCAGTTATTGGTGAATGTGACTCCAGATATTTTTATGAAATTAAACATATGTAAATGGATCAATTCATATAAATAAATAAGATGATACCATGACAGTGGTTCAGAATCTGTGGGTGAAGGCAGAGCATATGTTTTAAAATCATTTTTAAAATGAAAATATCAGTGATTTTGTCACACTAGGAGTTTGGGATATATCTCTCCAGGCTTTTCGTACACATTTACAATTCTCTCTTAAATTGTAGGCACACCCACATAGATGTGAGTTTCTGTATGAGATAATACTATACCTGTCTCCTACAATTTTTTTTCTTAATAATATTATCTAAGCATCTTTCCATTTCACTTCCTAGAGATCTGCCTCATTCTTTCACATTTGAAAGTTTTGATCTTATAAAAAATGCCAGACCTCCTCCAGAAAGGTTGTATTGATTTCTCTCCCACCAAAAGTGCTATTTTTCCACATACTTGCCAATATGAAGAATTTTCACACTTTAAAAATTTTCCCCAACTGAAAAGTAAAAATTATACATTTCTGGGGGTTAAGGTTTTGCAGTTTTTCCAATAGCTTTAAAGTTGAATACATTTTCAAATGTTTATTAGCTATTTAGCCAATCTCTTAAAAAACACCATATTCTTTGACCAATTTTTTATACTGGAAAATATATATGTATATATACATTGATTTGTGAAAACTCTTTTAATATAGTGGTTTATTCCTTTACATAAATTGCTAATATTTTTTCAACTTGTCATGTATCTTTGAACCTTGTTCAAGGTTATTTTGACACACAAGTTCAAATTGTTTTCTTAGGTCAGATCTGTCAGTATTTCTAGACTTAAAGTCATGCTTCAATTTGTTTTCTTAAAACGAGTAAAGTAAGAATTTTTTTTTCTGTTACAAAGGTAAACCATGATCATTGCAAAGATCTTAGAAAATAAGGGAAAACTCACCAATAATCTTTCTGTCTAGAAATAACCATTGATAGCCATAATTTTTGTGTGTGACCTTTCTTACAAATGCTCAGGCTTAGAAAATGTTAGAGATAGAAATGACTATTAGAGTCATCTAATGAGAAATAAGTATTGAATTTGAAATTGTAGTGATTGTAGTTTAGTGATGTCTTTCAGCATGTAAGCTCCATGAGCTGGGGCCTTGGCCTGTTACTAGGTTAGTAACAGTTAGCGGTCGGAGGTTAAGGTAAAGATTTGCTAGCCTTCGTCTTGGTGGCCAAGGCAAGGCAGGGCAAATGGAGGGAGTTGATAAACGTTGGTGACCAAGTGAAGTAGGTTAATCTTACCACTTGCTCCGGTATTCCATAAATAAGTTTTGTGTGGTTTTTGTAGATTTCAATCCAGACATACATAGATCTTATTTACTACTTTTTTTTTTTTAAATCTTTTCGCAGAGGTAGACAATGTGGCACAATGTCACATTCAGCTTGCCCAGACTCTAAGAGAAGAGGCCAGAAAGATGGAAGAATTCAGGGAAAAGCAAAAGCTACAACGGAAAAAGGTTGGATTTGCATATATGTTAAGATGTTGCTTTTCCCATGGCAGAAAACTCCGGGCTTGTTTTTTTCCCCAAACTCCTTGGCTCACACCTGCCTTCATGCAGCCATGCTCCTCTTTTAAACTATGAGATTATTTATTGGGAAACCATGTGGAGACCCAACTAGATGGTTCTGTCTCTGTGCCCATAAGCACCCAGGCCAGCTCTCTCTGAATTCTTGTAAGATTTATGGGTCTGGCTGTCTTCTTCTTCTTTTCATATCTGCTGCCACTATTCAGACTATGACTGGCAAGGGGAAACCCTTTGTCTTCGGTAGAGTCTAGGGCATGTAACCTGGTGAGCTCCCAGACCACACTCCTCCTCCTTGACAAGTCAGTAAGAGAAGGGTAGGGTGTAGAGAAGACCCACATTCTCCCAGAGACCATGTGGTTCAACCTGTTTTACAAATTGGGAAACTGAGGGGAAAAGCCAAGTCCTTTTTGTCTTCAAAGCAGATGTGCATAGGCTGTTTTTCGTTGATGGGATTTACTCTGTTCAACTACATGGAAGGAGATGGGAGTAACAAATGTTAATAAAACTGGCAAATGTCTGAGAAGTTAGAAGGATCAAGAAAAGAAGTCCAGATTTATAGTAGTAAAGTGTTCTTCAGAAGAGACCAGCCACCATTCTGACTCCCTTCTATTTGGTTGCTAAATGACTTATACATTCAAGTTGGCCTGACAGCCAATGAGAGCTCTTCTAGAATATCTCCTTTTTTACATCTGGTCTACAAGTTTGGAACCACAGCTTCACATGGGGGGCCAGCTTTTCTCTGTTTGGTGCCCAAAGATTTCCACCCAGGTATCCCCGACAGACTTGCATGAACTTTTTGGAAATCCATTCTCATCCTGGCCCTTGACCATCTGAAGGTTATTGTCTGTAGTGTGTGTATCCAATAAAGCTCCAACTGTTAAGGCTGAGTCTACCCATATGCCAATCTTAGTACCTCTGACTATGGTTCTAAGCCAGAGTCTAATTCCAGCTTCCTTGGTGACGTTTGGCATTTGGAGTGGATGGCGGACTTAAGATCCTGCCTGCCTTACATCTATGCCTCTTTGTAGGAAGAAAGGGTGGAGACCAATATATAAGGAATACAAGATCGGTGGTTTCACACACACTCACAATTCATGTATCAGGTTTGAGAGATGCATCTGGCCTCAATAATTTTTTAGAGCAGAAATAATATGTATATTATACCCACCCATTAGATAATCAACCTGTTTAGGCCTGACATTGCCAGCACTGCCCACCTACCTAGAGAAATAACAATTTTTCAGGGGCAAAATACACAAGAGTCTATATGCATGTGATTTCTAGTAAGAGGAGCATAAGGTCATTTCCTCATGTTTCCAAGTGCCTTTGGTAGCCTTGGTCATTTCAGGGAGAGTTTTGTTAATTTTGCAAGGCTTCTGAAACTTCCCCTCCTAACAAGTTACAAAGATCAAGTTCTCATAGCTGGAAGACTGTGTTCTGAATTCTGTAATACAGGAGGCTGTGCTCAGTTCGTTGCCATGTGCTCTCTACAGCAGCGAAAAGCCTTCTGAACTTTCGCGAAGAAGTCTAAAGTTTATTAGTAAATAAATTTCTAGTTACTCATGTCACAGTGAATTCTGGGTTGTACCACTTCTGTTTTTAGATACCTTTTTTTTTTTTAAATCAAACTTTGGGAGAAAATGTGTCAGTGCTAGCTTTTCAGTTTCACTGCATGTTTTGGGCTTCCACTTTCTGGAAATTGTGCCATTTCCACTTGTCAAGGAAAACCATTGGTTCCTTTTCGCAAACTGGGGAAGGGGAAGGGCAGGTAATATAGCTCAGAAGTTAGTGGTGGATTACTCACTTGGACAGCTAGATTTCCAAAGGTGGTGAACAATACAGACATGGTCGTTCTTCCCTCACAGAGCATAGAGCATGGTCAGAGAATGATGTGACATAGTCATTATGATAAAGCGTGATAAACCTTAAATAGTAGGGGAGATGAAGGTGCCACCTCACATGGGGCAGGGGCTCCTGGGGGGAGACCCTGAAACGACAAGCATCAGTGTGAGTGACGGCACAGGTGAGGCTGATGAGAGACAGACTGTCGTCTCTGGGGGCTGGCAAGGTTGGGGGAAGAGCCACTTTCAGGAGGCTGGGCATTTTAGGGTACTGAGGTTGCTTCCCTAGCCCAGAGTGTGCCAGGCTGACGGGGCAGCACACGCTCAGTCACTCTCCTCTGGTGCCCACATTCTGTTCTACCTGTTCTACCCTCTCTGCTGATACTGAGCTGAGCACAGCAGAATGGTGCTCTGCCTGTGTAGCGAGCAATCTCCAAAGAAAGGAATGTCCTTGGTTACACGGAGTGACGCTTATAGCTTTAACAGTGTGAATGCAGACAGACCACTAAGCAGCTATTTCAATCATTTACTGCAGGTCCATCTGAGTCATTTATATACCTTTTCTTCCTTTCCCCTCCCCTTTTGCTTCTCCCCACCTAGAGCAGAGGGTGATACATCTTGTACTACTTTGTGTTATCAGTAATGAGACAATTAGATTTCCACTGGGTTTGGCCTTACAAGACCTGCCAAGAGTAGGCCATTCTATAAGTGAATACAGACTTGAGGAGACTTGAATCAAAGTGGGGTAACAGAGTTGGATTTGGTGTCACTGAATGGCCTTGAGCAATATCACCTCGTGGGCCCCAGGGATCACACCTGTCAGGTTAGAGCCAGACTACCTCTCTCTAGGGTCCTGTTCACATACAGATGCCAGGGATCCTTGAAGGCAGAGAGGAAGATGAAGGGATAAGCTCTGGCTAATGGAACTTTGTAGCCGCCTGAGAGGTGCTGGAAGCAGGTGTTATGTACAAGTTGGACATAAGGAAGCCTGGCTGGGGCTGTAAACTATGAAATAGTGGTAGCTCCCAAACTGGAAGAAAGGCAATGTATATTTTTGGACTGGAAGGGACCACAGAATAGACCAACATTGCTGACTGATCTGCTCCATGGAGCCTGAGGAAATCAGGGACCGTTAATACATAAACCCAGCTCCTCCTCCCGGCAGAGGAATGGAGGTGCTCATGTGAACCGCACAGCTTCCTGTTTGTGATGACAAGGGCCTTCCTAGGAGTCTCTGCATGTGGGGCCCATGTCTGTTCTCTGTGTCTACAGTATCTTCACTGTTAGCAGATGCATGGCCACATCTTAGTCCTCAATTTCAGCTGGGCTGGAAGATGGCTGTTCAGTTCTTGGAAGGCCCCATTGGGGATCCCCAACAGAATTTCATGTATTCCACAAAGCTTATATTTGAAGTGAGACCATCCCAGACATTCCATCCAGATATCTTGAAAATCCATCCAACCATGTTTGTGTTTGTAACAGACAAAAATTTAATCTCCACAAGAAGTTTAGAAACCACACTTGAACATCATTCTCAGTATTATTATTTTGCATGGTATCATTTTGCACAAGAGCAATGCCATAGCTCATTTTGAATCATTGCACCTCTTGGTCTTTTGTATACCCGTTTGGTTGTATAGAGCTATCCTAAGAATAATGGTGGGTTAGGGTAATGATTAGGAACAAGGGCACAGGAGTCAGGCTGTGCCCAAATCCCAACTCTACTACTTGCTTGGGTAAATTAATCCACCTCAGTTTACTATTAAGAAAATGGGGATAAGAGTACTCACAGTGGTTGTGATGTATGAAAACTGATTAGCACATAATAATGCTTGATAAATAGCAACTACTATTAGGTCTGAGACATATTAGCACCATTATTTTTAGTAATGAAAGGGTTAATATCACAGCCACAACAAAGACACTGCTCCCATGTGAACTCAACAGAGCAGTTTACCTTTCCTGGATTAGCTGGGATAAAGGGGAAAATACCTTTTTTAGGCTGTCCTACAAACATTTCTTCTCTGCATACTGCCTGGGCTTCTTGCTGGTTTAGGGTGTGTTATTGATGGCTACTGGAGGAGTGAATATTTATGAGTCCCTAATTTTATTGGGCTGACATAGACTTACAGAATAAGTAAATATGAGTGGCGCCTTAACAAAAGTTTTAAAATTCTTTTTGAAACCTTAGTTTCTTGATTCCAAGTTTACTGAAGAGACAGATCCAAGGATGACCAATGATTCTCAATGGTCACTGCCCAAGTTCAAGGGCGGGCCTTGTCGTTAAGCAGCCAGAAGACCTTGGACAGCTTGTTTATCCTCTTTGCTACAGTTTCCTTGTTTGTAAAAATGGGATAATAAATAGCACATCTACCTTCTGGGTGTGTGAGGACTAAGTGAGATAATCCATGTTGAACACCTAGTCCTCAAGATAAGCTGGCAGTAACAGTAACTTGTTTTTATTAATAGTGCTTGTCCTCTCTTCACAGACAGAGCTTATAATGGATGCTGCCCATAAACAAAGGAACTTACAGTTCAAGAAAACTATGGATGTGAGTCTCAGTTTATTGCCTTCTTTTTGCCATGGTGACATTTTCTGAAATCCTGTGGTGTATATGAGCATATTCCTGAAAATAATACTTAAATAATAGTATGGATTGGTGCAGTGGCTTGGGAAAACAACCTCGAGAAGTTTGACTTTCCTTCTTTTTAAGGCCTTGGAAAGACTAAGGATGGAACAAGAGAGACGAAACAGAATGATGGTGACTTTCTGATAACATGGGAAAGTCTACAAGTCAATTTAAATATTTCAGGTCAAGACACAAAAGCGTCTATACCACATGCCATTTCCTTGTTGGATGTGAGCTTTTCCCCCTGTGACTATTTTGAATCTTGGTTTCTTACCTATTTTACTGAGTGAGCCCTTCCTGTTTCAAGATCTGAAAACTGTAAAAGCCTTCCTTAAGTAATCTATTAAAAAAAACAACACAACAACACTAAACAAGACAGAGCTAGGACAAATTACAGGGCCCTCCCTCTAGCTTTCCTGAATCTGTTCACTCTGGACACAGTGACCTCTGTTACTGAAACATCCATGATTCCATATTTGTACAGAAGTATCATCATGATGTTCTATGACTGTGACATGGTGTCTGGTAACCCAGTTACAAAAGAAAATGTCACCAATGTCGATGGCATATGCAGTCTGCTTTGTGTCATTTTTTTTTTTTCTGTGATGCATGGCACATCCAAAGCAACTGTGAAATAGGGAATGATGTTAATGTAATTACAGAAATAACATCGGTCCATACATGGATGTTCCCACACCTTCTATGTTTTGAGTAATCTGGGGCGAGGCTTCTCACAATTCAGCAGAAAGCCCTAGTGAAATACAAGTTTCTTAACTATCTCTTCTGCCTGCCTGCAGAGCCATGCTAGTGTTATAAGTTTTGCTTCGACTATCAAAAATTATTTTTTTATTAAAAAATTTTTTTAATGTTTTATTTATTTCTGAGAAGGAGAGAGAGAGACAGCGTGAGCAGGGGAGGGTCAGAGAGAGAGGGAGACACAGAATCTGAAGCAGGCTCCAGGCTCTGAGCTGGCTGTCAGCACAGAGCCTGACGCGGAGCTTGAACCCACGAACCGCGAGATCATGACCTGAGCCGAAGTTGGATGCTTAACTGACTGAGACACCCAGGTGCCCCTATCAAAAATTATTTAGAAAACTCAAGAAAAGGGAAGACTATTGTATTAATTCATTTTTTTCTTGCTGTGTCCTTTTTTTCCTCCTGATGTTCCAAAGTTTCCTCTTCTATAGTTTCCTTTGCTTAGAGGACTTAGCCATATTCAGGATGGTCTACTAGTGACAAATACTTTTAGTTTTTCTTCATCTGAGAATGTCTTGATTTCCCTTTCAGTGTCAAAGGCTGTTTTTACTGGTTATAGGTTTTTCCTTACAGGAAAAAGTGAAGTGTCATTTATGTTTTAAGATGTTTTCTTTCTTTCTTTTTAAATTTTTTTGTTTTTGCTTGTTTTTTTAGTTTTCAGAAGTTCACCTTTGTATCCTATCATAGATTTCTTTGGGTTTATTTTGTTTGGGGTTTGATCAGTTTCTTGAATCTGTAGTTTTATATCCTTTGTCAGATTTGGGAAGTTTTCAGCTGTTATGTCTTCAAGTACTTTTTCAGCTCACCCTCCTTTCCTTGGATTGCAAGGACATGAATGTGTGAGATCTTTTATTATGGTCCCAAAGGTCCATGAGGCTCTATGCATTTATTTTGAAGTTCACTTTTCTTGAGAGAGGGAGAGAGAGAATGAGCCGGATGGGGCAGAGAGAGAGGGCAAGAGAGAATATCAAGCAGGCTCCATGTTGACAGCCCATGCAGGGCTCGATCTCCGGAATCGTGAGATCATGACCTGAGCTGAAAGCAAGAGTTGGACACTTAACCCACTGATCCACCTGCATGTCCCATTTATGCATTTTTTCAGACTATTTTTCTCTCTGTTGTTCAGATTAGGTAATTTCTATTGCTCTATCTTCCACTTCACTGATTCTTTCTTCTATCTTTTCCATTCTGAAGCCTATCCATTGAGTTTTTTAATCTCCATTAGTGTATTTATTTAGTTCTGTAATTTCCATTTGGTTCTTCTTTATAACTTTTATGTATTTGCTGGGTTTTTCTATTTCTTTGCCAAGATCATCTATTTTTTCATTTAAGTGTGTTTATAATTGCTTATTGAATTTTTATGATGGCTCCTTTAAAATCTTTGTCAGATAATTTTAACAATCTCTGAAATCTTGATGTTGGCATCTATTGAAGACCTTTAAATTTTTTGTTATGATTTTGTTTATAAAATCACAAAAGAGAGAGAGAGAGAGAGAGGCAGTGTGAGCGGGGGAGGGTCAGAGAGAGAATCTGAAGCAGGCTCCAGGCTCTGAGCTAGCTGTCAGCGCAGAGCCTGACGCAGGGCTTGAACCCATGAACCGTGAGATCATGACCTGAGCTGAAGTCGTACGCTTAGCCGACTGAGCCACCCAGGTGCCCCTGAAGGCCCTTTTTTTCTCCATTCAGTTTCAGATCTTCCTGGTTCTTGGTATGATTAGTGATAGTAATTTGGTTTTGGACATTTTAGGTATTATGTTACATGACTCTAGATCTTATTTAAACATTCTGTTTTAGCTGGATGACTCTGACACCTCTAGCAGGTGACAGTGAAGTCCCTTGACTCATTACTCCTATATAGGGGTACTAATCCAGGTTTCCCCTGTTGGCTTCCACTGAAAGCACAGGGTCAGTGTGGCCGTGTTACTACGGGGAAGTAGGTAAAGTTCTGACCCTCCACTAGACCTTCTCTTGACACCAGCCCAGCAGGCAGAGGGGACCCCTGTGACTGCCAGACAGGGGCGGTAGGACTCCGGGCTGCTGACATGGTTTCCAAGGCATTATGTGTAGGGCTGTTACCTACCGGTAGGAATGGAGGTTCCAGTTCCCTATTTGTCCTTCTCTGACACCATGTTGGCAGGGAAGTGGGGCATCTCATTATAGCTCGGTGAGAGTGGAAGTCTAGACTCCCGTTTGTCCTCTGCTGGATGTGTGGTGGGTGGGGGAGGCTTCGGCTTTTTTAGGTGGTGCTTGGCTGCAGTAGAATGGTTATTTGCTAGAAGTTTCTCTCCTGGTAGCCTGTCCCTTTTCTGGTCTTATGACTAGAGTGGGCAGGTTTTTGTTGGGACTTCTTGTTTTTACTCATTGCCATTTTGGTTGCCTGCTTCTTTGGCACTCAGTCTGTGACATATGAGGCAAAAAGAAAACCGAGAGAACTTACTGGTGGGTCACCCTTCTCAGACCAGGGTTGCCAGCCAGTCTGCCTTCTCTCCGCCTTTCAGAGTCTTATGTTTGTTTTATACAGAATGTCCAGGGTTTGTAATTGTTCTTATGTGGAGGAATAGGGAAAATTACGTCTTTCCATCTTCTCAGAAGCTTGTATGTATAACCTTTAAAAAAATATTTTGTGATATGTTTTTAGAGCCATAATGTGATCATATCCCCTCAATCTTATACTAAGAATCTAAGACTCTATGTTTAGGAAATCATCCTAAAAACGAAAAGTAAAGGCATGAACTTATTCACTCCTAAAGTCAGGAAAATTATAAATTATTCAATGACTAAAAAATGGAGAAAGAGGGGCACCTGGGTGGCTCTGTCAGTTAAGCATCCAACTTTGACTCAGGTCATGATCTCATGGTTTGTGGGTTTGGGCCCCGTGTCGGGCTCTGTGCTGACAGCTAGCTCGGAGCCTGGAACCTGCTTCAGACTCTGTGTCTCCCTCTCTCTCTGACCCTCCCCTGCTCATGCTGTCTCTCTCTGTCTCTCAGAAGTAAATAAAACATTAAAAAAATGGAGAAAGATTAGTTATATGACCTTTATGAATATGTAGCAACAGAGAAAACATATTTAATACGGCATATTAAAAAATAAAGCAGGGTAGAGGAAGATTGATAACTGACAACATTAATATTTAAGACTACTTTAGAGCAAAAGGAAAAATATCTTATACATGGTTTCAAGAGAGATAACAAATGGGGAAAAATATTTGTATATATTTTTCAAATATATACAAATATAGCTGATAGCTGGATAGTGGTCCTGATATAGACTGAGCTCTTAAAAACCAATGGAAAAAGGGGTGACTGGGTGGCTCAGTTGGTTGAGCATCCAACTTCTCCCCAGGTCATGATCTCGTGGTTCATGGGTTCAAGCCCTGCATCTGGCTCTGTGCTGACAGCTCAGAGCCTGGAGCCTGCTTCAGATTCTGTGTTTCCCTCTCTCTCTGCCCCTCCCCAACTCGTGCTCTGTCTCTCTCTCTCAAAAATAAAATAAGCATTAAAAAACTGAACAAAAATCCACTGAAAATAAAGAATGCTGCAATAGAAAAGCAGGTAAAAGACATGAAGTAGAAAGGACATACCACCTTAGTGGTCATGAAATAAATACAAATAAAACAATTTCATTTATTTTCTGACATTTTCTCCTGTGATATATAAAAACTCAGGCATACTGTCCAAGGTTGGTGTCGGTAAAAGTGAGGAAATTTACTCCCTATACTACTGGTGGGAGTATCAGTTGGTATGGTCTTTTTTTTTTTAATGTTTTTATTTATTTCTGAAAGAGAGAGACAGCATGAGCAGGGGAGGGTCAGAGAGAGAGGGAGACACAGAATCTGAAGCAGGCTCCAGGCTCTGAGCTGAGCACAGAGCCTGACATGGGGCTCGAACCCACAAACGTGAGATCGTGACCTGAGCCAAAGTCGGACGCTTAACCAACTGAGCACCCAGGTGCCCCTGGTGTGGTCATTTTGGAAGGAAGTTGGACATATACATATTCTTTTACCAAACAATTACATGTCTAGGAATTTGACCCATATAGATAAATTCATACTACCCAAAACAAAATCAGAATATTTTTATGTTTTAAAAAATGGGAAACGAGATAAGTATTCACCGATAGAGAGTTAAAGTTATAGCATATGTGTGGGTGTGTGTGTGTTTGTGTGTGTGTATTTACAATCACTGAAATGTTCAGCTATAAGGATCATGCTTGATATAGAGAAATGTCTATTATATATTGTTACAAAAGAAATTGTTTCATGAATATCTTATGTGCTTACAATTTTGAAAAATTATGAATCTTCTATGTGTGTGTAGCATATATAGAGAATGGTATGGTTTTTTACTGGAAGGTTAACTTTAGCTGAGTTACAGAGGATGCCGAGAAATGCAAGAACACACATGAAATATTTGATGAGCACAAACCATCTCTGCAAAGGAGTCTTCATTCTTAGGCAGTTTTGGGGGCATCAGCATTTTTATTTATTAGCTGACTCACAGCTTTCCTTTGTTTGAACAAGTTAAGTCTTCACTTCAGTAGTTGAAACAGGAAATTATTTGATTTGCTAACTATATAGTTTGAGAACTATTTTCATACTAATAGTAGTAATGATAGCATAGGATAGACCAGGGTCTACTTTTTAAAAAATTTTTTTTAATGTTTTTAAAATTTATTTGTGAGAGAGAAGAGAGACAGTGTGAGCAGGCGAGGGTCAGAGAGAGAGGGAAACACAGAATCTGAAGCAGGCTCCAGGCTCTGAGCTGTCAGCACAGAGCCCGACGTGGGGCTTGAACCCATGGACTGTGAGCTCATGACCTGAGCTGAAGTTGGACACTTAACCGACTGAGCCACCCAGGTGCCTCCGGGGTCTACTTTTCAATTAGTTAAAACAGGGGCACCTAGGAGACTCGGTTAAGTGCCTGATCTTTGGTTTCGGCTCAGGTCATGATCTTATAGTTCATTAGTTCAAGCCCACATCGGGCTCCGTGCTGCTGGTGTGGAGCCTGCTTCTGATTCTCTCTCTCTCTCTCTCTCTCTCTCTTTCTCTCTCTCTCTCTTCCCCGCCTCCCATGCATGCTCTCTCTCTCAAAATAAACTTAAAATATAAAAATAAAAAAGTAAACTAGCTAAAACAGATTTCTTTAAATCAAAAAGGAGCATGGCTATTCTTGAGTGACAGAGTTGATGGGATCCATGCCCTTGTCACCTGCTACAGTGGATACATTAGAATGTCGAAGCATAATTGTAATTACTATGTCAAGTGATTGCATCTAAGTTCTGAGAGTTATGTTACATAAACGGTAGATTACACATATTTCTTCAAAATTGTTTTCTAATGTGTATTCATTTTTGAGAGAGAGAGAGAGAGAGAGAGAAAACCCAGAGCATGAGTGGGGAAGGGGCAATGAGAGGGAGACACAGAATCCAAAGTAGGCTTCAGGCTCTGAGCTGTCAGCACAGAGCCTGACGTAGGGCTCGAACCCATGGACCACAAGATCATCACCTGAGCCAAAGTCGGCCGCTTAAGGTGCGGAGCCACCCAGGCGCCCCTAGATTATACACCTTATAGTTACATACATATTTTGATTTTGTGTATTTCAAATCCCATCTTTTGTTCCAGTCAGTTTTTAAACGGGTTTTTACTTCGTGTTTGCCGAATTGGAGTTATTACTTCCTTGATCGGCTTGTCACCACATGCGTAGTTTGGAAAAGGGCTAGAGAGCCCTTCCACACATAGATAAGCAAGAGCCTTTGCTGCTGGGGTGCCCACCATCTAGCAGTGATCACGGCGCTAACCTGAGCGCCCTGTCCTTTGCTGGACTCAGTGGCCTGGGGCTGCTGCTTTGCTGACTCACATTCTTCTTACCTGTTTTGCTCCTCTTTTGATGCATAACAACAAAGGCAAAGAAGACCTATGTGCAGAAATGCCGAGACAAAGATGAAGCAGAACAGGCTGTCCATCGGAGCGCCAACACAGTGAACCCAAAGCAGCAGGAAAAGGTACCTGTGCGAGCCGACAGCCTGAAAAATCTGAGAGTTGTGTATTTGAACCTAAAGCCAATTACTAACGTTAATGAAAAAGATCTGCATCCTGAGTCCCTGGCAATATCTTGCTTTGGGCTGTCAGGATCCTCTGACCCCAAATGTCCCTTGTCACAGTTTTGGGGTTCGAGAGGAGCTGGAGAAGCACGGCCATGGGGAAGGGATTGGGGTGATAGGAAGTAGGGGAGAGGATTTTGGTTTTTTCATCTTTCTACAAAACTGAAGTATTCTTTGTAGGCAGGCCACCTCCTGCTTGGTTGCACTGTTCATTCCATGGAATCTGCTGAAGATTGTCCGCAACCAGAGAGCAGGGGTGTGTCTTTAGGAAACCGTAGGGCAAGATGCTTGATGGCCTTTTCCAATGGTAACGTTAGAGGGCAAGTTGAATGATTTGCTGAGAGAAACACAGGTAAGATGAGGATTACACGGATCTCTTCACAGCCATTGCTTTCAAGTCTGTTTTGCCTGAGGGAGCTCCACCCAGCACTCCTCATCTCTCTCGTTCTTTGTGTGTCCTCACAGCTTTTCGTGAAACTGGCAACTTCGAAGACTGCAGTCGAAGACTCAGGTGAGGGGGCTGCTCCCAGGGATGGGGGAAACTTGTGGGGAGGGGGCTGACATTATACTGAATCTGTCTGGAAAGGTATTTTTATATATCATATAAGAATGATGGACAGACAGCGGGATTAACAAAATATCAGGAGGGAAGATACGGAGGGAGGACACGGAGGGAGATAAGGTATATTAGGACCTGGGAAAGTGAGCCATTAGGTTCTGGTCACTGTCTGCTTAGGTCTTGGGCCTTGTAATTGAATGGGGGGGGGGGGGCAGTGGTCATGTGACAGCTGCTTTGTAATCAGATGCTCACTCTGATTTATTAGGAACATCTGTCTAAAAAACCCATTTCAGCCCTGATAAGTCTTATCTACTATGAAGGAAACAGCCATGTTTCGAGGCCTTGTCATGGATGAAGTCTGGGATCCAAGCCAGGTGTTTGCAGAGCCTTCTAATCCCAGAGTACCCTGCAGGAGACAAGGCTCTCATGACCATGGTTACTTAAGAAATCTCTAAATCCAAAGCCAAAGTAACTTGATAGTTCTCTGTACCTCTCACTGAATAATCTTCCTGAAAATGGAAATGGGTGGAAACTATTGAGGTTGAATTAGCCAAAGAGAACCCTGGCTGAAGTTCCTGTCAACATTCTTTCTCCTTCCTTGAAGCATTTCCTTTTTTTTTTTCTTCCCCTTTGACCCATTTCTTGCTAATTGACTTGGTTTAATGTCTAAAAAGAAAGTGTTTATTTTACAAAGATGTTATGAGAGGGAGAGATGGATATGGCCTCCCATTGTTCAGAGCTCCGTGGGGTCTTGTGAGCTAAGTGTGACTCTGGCGAGTGCTGTCTGCCATCTGGGGTGAGCTGGGCAGTAGTTCTGCGCGGCGCGCACCTGCCTGATTTCTGAATCCAGGCCCTTGCCCTCCACTGCAGACAAGGCGTACATGATGCACATCAACCTTCTGGACAAAGTCCGCGAAGACTGGCAGAGCGAGCACATCAAGGCCTGCGAGGTACCGGCTGCTTGGGAGGGGATGGGTCTTCCTCTGAGAAATTGGGTAGCCCACTTTGCCAGAGATGCACCACCTTATTACAGGGCCCCAGTTCTCAGAGAAATGCTTCAGGCCAAATTTAAAAATCAGAAATGTAAGTGTAAGGTGGAAGGTACCGGAATGTTTTCCTCCAAACCTCGTTTTTCTGCCCATCCCAGTCCTGACCAATGTGTCCGACTCTGTTCAAGGACTTCCTCTAATGTTTAGTTAGTGAAAACATGAAATAGCTGAATCAGTTCATGGCTGATTAAGTGATTATTTTTCAAGAGCCTTGCCTGAACTTTCTATCCAGTGAGAAGAATGCAAGGTGATAGACAGAAAGTGAACTAGAAGTTTTCACTCAGGCACCTGGGTGGCTCAGTTGGTTGAGCATCTGACTTCGGCTCAGGTCATGACCTCTAGGTTCGAGAGTTCCAGCCCTGCATTGGGCTTTCTGTTGTCAGCGCAGAGCCCACTTCGGATCCTCTGTCCCCTCTCCTTGCCCCTCCCCTGCTGGCACTCTCAAAAATAAATAAACATTAAAAAAGGGAAGTTTTTACTCTCCTTACACCTTTGATTTCACCATTACCTCCTCACTCCATTTTTAGCATGTGACCTTACCTACAATTTCCCAGAGACAATAAAGACATAACTTAGAAACTTCCTCAAGTTTCTTTCAGCCTGTCTATAGTTTTTCTTACCAGTGGTCCTCAAAGTGAAGTCCCAGGACCTGTAGCATCAGCATCATCTGGGAATTTGATAGAGATGCAAATTCTCAGACCAGCTGCTGAAGTAGGTGCAGTCCTGTGTTTATAAGTCCTCTGGTCCAAATTCAAGCCTGAGAACTGATGATCTACACTCCCCTCCCCTCCTTTTCTCCTGTTAATTGAAAAGGGGCTGCTCCCACCTTATCAAGATCCTGTCCTGCCACCTGGGCTCAAGATCCCATCATCCAGCTGTCTTTGCTTTATGCCCGTGCAAAACTCCCTTCAGTGTGAACTTCCTATATAGTCATTTGTACTACTCAGCTCATTCTTGGTGTTAGAACCTACTGGCTGTTGCTTCTCTCTGCTACCCTCTCCTCTTTTCACAGCCAGGCTTCTTGAAGGAGTTGTCTTCACATCCTCATTGCCTCTGCCTGTCCCAGCCTGCTGCGTCTGGGGTCTGTCGCCCCCGCCGCTGCCTGCTGAGGAACCAGAGATCTCCGTGGTGTGAGGTCCAGCAGGCCTCTGCAGCTCCTGATCTTATTTGGCCTGTTTCTACTATCTAACACTGGAGGCCACTATCCCCTTCCTAAAACACTCTTTTCTGCTTTACATTTTTAATTCCGCGCTCATGGGAAAGCCTAGAATAAGTCCCTCTTTTTAAGGTTTAAAAACATACAAAGCAATATCAGATACATTTTTACAGACACATAAATATTATAAAAGCCTGCATGGGAATGATAAAATTTAGGAGAATGGTTATCCATGGGGAAGGAGAAAGGGGATCGAGACTGGAGAAAGCATATAAGGTGCTTAAACAGAATCTAGGGCAAATATGGCCAAACTTGTGGACCAAGCAAGGTGGTCAGTATGTGGGTATTCGTTATATTGCTCTCTATGATTCTGTGTATGCAAAGTATTCTATAATAAAAATAATGTGAAATCTACTATTTATATGCTACATAAAAAGAAAATATAAGAAACACTACATATACTAATATACTAAGTATGCTAAATACTAAATATATTAAATACTAAACACTAAATAAATACTAAAATATATGCTACATATAAATACTAAAAGGTTTGCAGGTAAAATAATGTATTTACTTCAAAATACTCTAGGGAGTAGATAAGTTGGTAGGGATATCATAAAACAGAATCGGTTGTGAGTTGACAAATGTTTAATCTGCTGATGGGTACGTGCACTTTCATTATACCATTTTCTCTATTCTTGTCTATGTTTGAAGATTTACATTATAAAAAGTTTTAAAATGTAATGGTGTTATATTCAACCTTTAAAAAATACATTAATATGTAACATCCGCTGTTGAATAGCATCCACTTTATAGAATAATAGATTGATTTTCCAAAAACTGATACTTGCTTATGTACAAGAAGCTATTGTTCAGGCAGTGTCTTTTTTAAAAAACTTTTTTTTATAAAAGAAAACTTCTAACATAAACGGAGATGGAAGTGCAGGTTCCCCCACGTTCTCCTGAACTTCCGTGATTACAACCATCCTGCCAATTGAATTCAGTCATAGGGGAATCTGACTGTGAGGCTCTGGCAAGCTGCCCACGGGGAGATACCCAACAGGCAGTTGGAAAGGTTAGCTGGAGTTCAGGTTAGAACCTTGGCATCTGGGCTCATCAGTACCTTCAGAACTATATCCAATCCTGTTTGTGTTAATACTATATTAGAATACTCTTTGCATTCTTTGCCTGTGGTAAGAGTTTATGAGTTTCCTTGGTAGCAGGGGGAATATGTTAAATGGGACAATAGGCTTACAGATAATGAGGGTTGAAATTGTTTCTTAAGTCATAGCCAGTCTAGACAAATATCACCTTTCTCTGTATATGTACAGACATGTGTTATGTTTCCGCAGATGTTTGAAGCTCAAGAATGTGAACGAATTAAATTCTTTCGGAATGCATTGTGGTTACACGTGAATCAGCTGTCACAACAATGTGTCACAAACGATAACGTAAGTCAGAAACATCCACAGAGGATTCATTAGAGTGGAAGGAACCATAGACATTTATTAGTCCACCCTCCTCATTTGAGGCCCAGAGAGGTACAGTGACTTGCCCAAGCCTACACAGTGAGTTGATAGAAAGATCCAAATAAACACCTAACTGCCTGACTCCTGATCTGCTTTGCTACCATGACTTTCTCTTTAAGGATTTCAGAGTTAGGGCAGGAGAGCAGAGAAGGGAGACCCAAATCTAGTTTAATTTATGGAAGACAGAGATGTCATACAGAGGGTCACTCTGGGACATCACCAAGCACTAGGAGACTGACCCATATGCCCAGGCTAATGGTCATGCCAGGGCTCAAGATTTACTTCAGCAGCATTCCCAGAGCCAATATCCAGGTTTAACTTGTGCACAGGAATCCTCATGGGGTTCTTAGACCTCAGAGGGTAGAATCAAATTATCACAACCTTCTTTGCTAAGAAATAGCCACCCTCACTTGGATGGGACGTTCACTTTAGTAGAAAAATTAAACACTTAGAACACCTATGGAATTGACCAGAGGAGCTTTTTTCCAAGTTAATTCATTTTTGCATTTGTTTGTGGCTTTGGTCTTGGTCTCTATTTTCTTTGTCCCATCAGTACTAAAAACAAATCTTTCTGCAAAGGTTTTTATGCAGCCACAGAGACACATTTCTTGTCATCTTTAAAACAATTTTAATAGCAGATATGCATCAGAGAAATCCCTTTATATAGGGAGTCTGAGACTTGGGAATGTCTCTTTTTCTTTTCAAAGCAAAATTTGGAAGAGTCAGCCATTCATCAAACCTGTTTTAATAATCTGTGCCACAATTATTCACAGACATACCTCTATGCACGATTTATTTTCTTTTTGTCAGATGTATGAAGAAGTCCGTAAGAGCTTAGAGGTATGCAGCATTGAGAAGGACATTGAGTACTTTGTGAACCAGCAAAAAACTGGCCAGACTCCACCAGGTGAATGGAGTGGTGGGGCTGGGCATTTTTTAAAGCAATTCTGCTAGCCTTTTGTGCACATGTCATTGAGAATGGAAGACACTAGCATCTTAATATTTTGTTTCTCGATTCCCCTAGCACCCATTGTGTATGAGAATTTCTACTCCCCCCAGAAGAATACAACCCCACAGGGAAAGTCTCCAGGGCCCAGCTTACCAAGGTAATAACCACCTACCTTTCACATGAAGAAAAATACTTAAAATTTTTTAAATGTTTATTTATTTTTGAGAGAGAGGGAAACAGAATGTGAGCAGGGAAGGGGCAGAGAGAGAGGGAGCCATGGAGTTCGAAGCAGGCTCCAGGCTCTGAGCTGTCAACACAGAGCCCAATGTGGGCTCAAACTCATGAACTGTGAGATCATGACCTGAGCTGAAGCTGGACAGTTAACTGACTGAGCCACCCAGGCGCCCTGAAGAAAATACTTTTAATAAATGTTGTTATCATTAGTGTTCTAAGAGGTATTGGAATATATCTACCACTGCATTTGCTTAAGTAAGGTTGCTAGATTTGGAGAAGTAGCATTTTTAGGACAAATGTTAAGTGGATTTTACCAGTCATAGTTTAAGTAGGACTCTATCATGTTTGAGTGTGATTATTATGACTCACACATGAATCCTATACTTTTTGTATAGCATGTGGAAAGCAGGACTCTGGCCCCCCGTGAGTCAACTGACCTACCTGTTTTGGTAGGACCCAAGAGTAAAGAATGGTTTTTATAAGTGGCTGAAAAAACAAAGGATACTATTTTATGACATATGAAAATGATAGGAAGTTCGGGTGTCAGTGTTCGTATAAAGTTTTATAGGAACCTGGTCACGCTCATCCGTTTACATTTTTTCTGTGGCTACTTTGGCATTAGAGTTAGCAGAGTTGTGACAGAGCTGCCCGACTGGCCAGCAGAGCCTACATTGTTTACTGTCTGACCCTTTGCAGAAAGAGTGTGTCCCCCCCACCCCCCGCCAAAGAATCCCTAGAGAAGAGAAGCTTCTATTTCACACACAGTCACCTTGAAATCTAAGCTGTTGAATTTCCATTCCAGTTTTTAAAAAGAGAAGGGAGTATTTGAGGGAGAATTGCATGGTCATCATCAATATTTAAGAACGCCAGGTGCCTTTCAGAACAGGTCATGTGAATGAGCTCATTTCATCCTCCCAGTGAGGCGGGAGCTGCTTGGCTTTTTCATCTTATGTGTGAAGATGTTGAGGTACCAGGAGATGAAGAAACCACACACTCACAGCAAAGACTTTCCTCCTGCCTGTTTGGGTTGCAGGGATGGGGCTCTGTGCTTCCTGACTGCTGTGTGTCCTGCTCGACAGCATAATAGTATGTCAGCAGCCTAGACTCTGGTAGGTCAGTGTTGCAGGCTTTTGTTTCATCTGAATTTCTCTTGACTCTTCAGAAGAGAAACTAGATCTGGTTCGGGTGCAATATGATTGTGGTGTGAAGACAAAAATTAGAAAACTAACAAGAACTTATCTGAAAGTCTTTGGTTTTCATTTCCTACAGGAGAGGACCTCTCCCAGTTCCTAAAAATTTACCAGGTATGATGTCAAGAAAGATCTTTCAGAATGCTAATGTCAGGTTCTCTTTAAGGTCAAATAGCTAGAATGATGAAATAAAGGGAAAGGGGAATAAATAGAAATAAATTCTCAAGAGAATGAGCCTGTAACAGGATCTTAATGTAATACTGTTTGTCACAGAGTGGACTTTGGTAATTAATGGTTTACTTTATAGCTTATCAAAGAGAATTCAGTTCCTGGAGTACCAAAAGAAACTTATTATAAGGCAGTCTGACCTAAGAGATTATTTCAACTTGAACCATCAGAACAGAAAAGTATAGTTTCCTTTGGATTACACAGAAACATAACTGATAGAAGTTATGTCTAGAAACATGTAACCTAATAGTATATATCTGTATACTGACCATAACTGGGTCTATCATCACGCTGGTCTCTTTTTAAATCAGAACTCCTATGATACCTCTAGGACAACCACACATTTTAGCATTTCTTGTTGTTGTTGTTAATTTTATTCCTTGGATAATTATAAGATCCTTGAGGGTAGGTACTTGGTTTTCTCCTGTATCACCCATAGCACCTAACACAGTCCTGAGCACATAGTAGGTGCTCAACAAATATCCATATTTTGAGTAAAAGAAAGGTCTACTTATCTATGTTCAAGGGAAGAGGGAACTTATGCTGCATGTAGCGGCCTAATAAAACTTCAGTGACTGAAAAGAAATTTAGGGGCTGAAATTATACTATTTTGTAAAAATATAAGGAGTTAAGTTTTATTTTATTTTAAATGTTTATTTATTTTAGAGGATGAGAGAGAGTATGTGAGTGGGGGAGGTACAGAGAGAGAAGGGAACAGATGATCTGAAGCAGGCTCTGAGCTGAGAGTAGAGCCCGATGTGGGTCTTAAGCTCATGAACTGGGAGATCATGACCTGAGCAGAAGTTGGATGCTTAACTGACTGAGCCACCTTGGCGTCCCTAAGTTATGTTATTTTTATAAAACAGTTACCACCTGATAATGTGGGACTGATTTTTGCCTATGTCTTAGCTTGAAATCTAGGTTAAGCCTTGAAGATGGCTTTACTCTAAGTGTTGTTATCTGCACATGGATGAAAAAGGGCAATGAAATCATGATGGTGATTTCCAGAATGTATGCATGAATCTTCCGTGTGTAGTCATGACTTTCGTTTGTAGGTTTGCAGGTATGTTTCTTTTTACAAAAGGGCAGTCACTAGAATCTTAAAGTGCAAGGTCTTGATTTGAAAAGGACTAAGAATCTTACCACTAAGCAGTATTAGCTTAATGTTGCTCTGTTCTGCCCTTGCAGATGACCCTGATTATTCTTTGGTTGATAACTACAGTCTGATCTATCAGTAACATCAGTGGTAAGAACCTTTAATTTTCATGTAATTTGCAAGTTGCATTTAGAGTATTGATTGTGTGTGTGTTTTTTTTTAAACAAATAGTTTATTGTCAAGTTGGTTTCCATAGAACACCCAGTGCTCATCCCCACAGGTGCCCCCCTCCATGCCCATCGCTCCCCTCCCTCCCACACCCATCAGTCCGCAGTTTATTCTCAGCATTCAAGAGTCTCTCATGTTGAAGCTTTACGACACCACTGCAGGCAGCAAGGCCTTGCCTCAGGCTGACCCCCAGTGTGGTCCTGCTGGATGGCCTCTCTGGGTCCCGTAATGGCCGGGGGCTTGGAGCCCATGCCATACCTACTTGAATGAGGAGATTTTCCCTTCATCAATTATGAATGATTGATGCTCACTTAAGGCAATGCTCACACAACTCACATGATCCTCACTGTTTGAGTAATTTAGCCTCTAGTGTACTCCCCCATCACCCAAAGGGGAAAAGTCAAGGCAAACACTGTCACACTCCCCTATCACACAGAGGGCATTAGAGGGGTCATCCGGTATCAGATCATGACTGCTCCAAGCTAGCAAACCACAGGGATTCCTAGAGCAAAAGTATGAGGTCAGCCATCGCTGCCGAGATGGTGCTTGTCTTTGCCTCTCAGGCACTTGTAACGTGTCCTGAGCCCATCTTCACCTTCACTAATGTGAGTGAATGCCTCCGAGTCCAAAACAGCAATACTAAATGGAACTCTGTGAAGTATAAATGTTTTAATCCAAACGGGTGTGTCTGGGGACATGACAATATACAGATAGATGAGCAAAGAAGCAGCTTGAGAGGATATATTCCCAGGCAAGTAGTAGTTCTTTTTTTTGTTTACTTAGTTTTCCAGTTTGTCTGCAGTGAAACTTCATTACTTCTTTAGTAAAAGACTGTTTCCAAGAGTTGATCGTCTTGCACATTCCTGATCTTAGTATGTTCCCAGGGGTGACAGGAGTCCAGGGGATTCAGGAACTGCGCCCGTCTCTCTCCCCCACCCTTCCTGGTTTGCTGTTACTGCAATTTAGAAAACAAAACAAGTTTTGTTTTTTAATGTTTATTTATTTTTGAGAGAGAGAGAGAAAGAGAGAGAGAGAGAGAGAGAGAGAGAATGATGATGAGGGAGGGGCAGAGAGGGAGAAAGAATCCCAAGCAGAGTCATGCTGACAGCGCAGAGCTTGATGTGGGGCTGAAACTCACAAGCCACGAGAGCATGACCTGAGCCAAAGTTGGATGCTAGACTGATTGAGCCATCCAGCTGCCCCCAAAACAGGTCTGAATAATGCTCCATGGTGGTTTCCTTCAGTGCTCTATAACACTGAAAGGTTCTTCAAGTGAGCACATCAAATACTGCTTATCTTCAGTCTTCCAGACACAAGTGTCTGTGACTAGTAGGCCATTACCTAGATGGGACAGAGCCATGTTGTTTTGATCAGATAGAAATGATCAGCTAGTATGTGCTTATATTGAAACATACGTCCTTAAATTGCTTAATAAATGTGTTTAATATCTAAGCAACTTTGCTGTGAAAGCTAATGGAAATGGAAGACCTAAAATACCTCAGCCTCTAACTATACATAACTTTCTGACCTGCACACAAATTGGAGTCTCTACAACTGGCCATCATTTCTTCATTTCATAAGGCTCCCTTTTTCTCATGAAAAGAGGCATGGCCCATAGTAGAGGTAGAAAGGGACATGGGGAAACAGGGACTTGGGACTCCGAGGTGAAATCTGCCCTCAGGAACAGGACCATGGAGATGATGGCTGCAAGTAGGCCATTGGTAGCTAGGAGAGTTTGGTTTTTTCTAACTGCTTCCTTTCCTACGCTCACCTATTTGCATCAAGCACACATTCTAGTTGCTTAATAGCAACCTTTGACCCAGGAACTCTAGTTCCTCTGAGTTCAAGAACCTGTTGCTCAGGTGCAAGATGCTAGTGCCCACACATGTGAGCTCTGTCACTTCATGGGGTTCATTAACATGTGCAAGCTCAACCAACAGGGCTCAACATACACAGGTATCATTGATGGAGTTGAAGAGAATTTTACGGAAGGAAGCCTATCTTAGTTAATAACCTAGCTAATGTATCATGATATTAAAAATAGCTTGAGCCTTTGGAAATGAAATAGGAACATGTGGGAATTTAAATAGAAAGGTGGCAGGAATTTGTGGTTTGCTTAGCATTGTTGATGTAGCTGCTATGCTTGTTTTTAATTCTAACATGTTTAGGGAAAGACATTATAACTTTTGAGTATCAAAAACTATAAATACATGTATTATTTACCATAAGCAATGCTGTTATCACAATTCATTTTTTTCACTTGTAATACTTATTCCTCACTATGTGTTTTCTTTGGCCAAAGCATACTTATTCTCATTGAAGAATATGGCAAGGAGAGGAGTGAGGAGCTGATGTGATGGTTCATTCAAATGAAATTTCTTTGTTATTTTCTTTCAGAAAACAAACCTTTTCTGGGCTGATGCTTCTACAGCGTGGGAGGAGGCACTCCGAACAGTAGAATCCTTAGCCAAACTGTGTCATTCGTGAAACTTCCAAGTGAAACCTTGCTATAATTTTTTTTTTTGGTATTTTAAATTTATTGTAGACATTTAGATCAACTTAGGTTAGTAAAGTTCTGAAATTCTTAAAAGAAGTTTACAAATTGTCCCAGACCGAAGAATTATTCTTTCCCAGGCGGTTACTAACGTTGAGAGTGAATTGTGTTATCTACATGGAGCCCTGACTCTTGCTATGGGGGGACAGCGGTGGCCGTGGAGGGGTCTGAGCCATGAACCTGGAGGGGCTTAGTTGGCCGTGGGGACAGCATGGCTGTGGAATGTTCACAGCGGAACACACCCTCGGTGGCGCACCATTTTAAATCACCTTCCTTTTTGCCTGGAGGACTTGGAGGCCATCTGATTATACTTTCTCATTTTACAGATGAGGAAATAGGGCCCAGAAGTGTGAAATCAATTTCCTTAATGATTAGGGACAGAATCCAAACTGGAGTGCAAGCTCACCTCACATCGCCATTCTTACTGATCCTTCCAGAGGCCATTGGTGCTTGTGTTGAAATTTCAGACGCCAAATGTTTTTCTGCCGGCATCTTTTCAGTTGGGAAAATAACCAGGGTTTAAATGTCAGATTTATTTTTATAGGACTCCCTATGTGTCCTGAACTTCAGAGTACTCTATTTAATTTAATCTAAGAAGCCACCGATTATAAAGCATGGTCATTATTTTACATACAACTGGGACAGTTAGGTAAGGGAGTTGACATTCTGAGTAGGGGCAGAATTACTCATAAAGGAGTGAAAATTGTGACAGTTAGTGGTTAAGCCCATTTGAATTTGATTTCCTAAACTGTGTGTGTGTGGGGGGACTACATCCTACAATCAGTACAATAGGGTATTTGGACTTCAATTCCTAAAGAGAGTTCTAGAGCTCCAAAGCCAGTCCTCAGTCCTGGGTCTTCACAGAGACTCTTTCCCTTGCTAGACTCTGGAACTTTTTAAAGTGTCAATCTTACCCTTTCACAGGTATTTGAGTCTTTCTTTTTATTACCCACAAACAGCAAGGAGACAATGTCCCTTTTGTATAATATCCATACACCATGAGAAAATGGTACATTTTAGTTAATGACAAACTAAACTAGCACTGGTGCTTATTCAGTATGTGGTTGGCCTTGTAACACATATTTTCTTCTCCTGCCCTGTGTAGTCGCTTTCTCAGAACTATGTACAAATTGAAACAAGACTGATTATTTTCCCAACCTTTAAGGTGTTACTGAAAGTGGCGGCTTCTCCTCATGACAGGAAGCTTGCATCAGTTGGATATCCTTTTGAGAAACTGAAGTTTGCAAAGGGCCATTGACTTCCCCAAATTGAGCAGGCTCAGGACATTTTCCTTCAAACTCAGAACATTCTATTTTTAGGTATTTTATTTATTGTTTGCAATTCCTCAGGGATTTCACTTTTCTCTCTTTTGGTCGGTGCAATCGCTGTCAACGTGTTTTATGAATTGAAATTATTTTTATTTTATTGCTCTTTCAGTTTGATATGAAGTAAAATAAAAGTTCTTGGTGATTTAGGATTTATTTTGCATTTTTGTGTTAACTACATCCTCTCTTCCAAGCCGTTTGGTCCTTGTCACAGCAGTTGCTTTTGTCAGATGGCGGAAGGGCAGACTGTTAGTAGAGGAGCTGCCACATCACTTCCTACTGGTCCTTAGTCAGGTATCACGACAAAGTCACTCCCCTGGGGAGGCTTCCCTCCCACCTGGATCCCACTGCTGTGTCCTTCTCCTCTCCCGAATTTTCCTTGTGATGGTCCATGATTCACTCTTGAGATTAATTGTTTAGAGTCTGTCTTCTCTCCTAGACAGTGATCTTAATGACTGCTGTATCCCCAGCACCTGGCACATTGTAGTGAGGATGAAAGAATTAGTGGCTAGAAAGAGACCATACCTGGAGAAACAACCAGTTGAGAGTGTAAAGGGAACGAAGCCAGTCAAATAAGTATACATGTTAAATTTAGTAAATATGATCTACCCTGAAGACTGGAGGCATCTTCGTTCGAATTCCACCAGAAGCAGACCCTCAGATAAGGCTTTGTGTGCAGGTACTTTTTCTGGGGGGTGATCTCAGAAAGCACCAGTATGGGAGAGGGGAGGTAAAGGAGGTGGAAGGAGGGAAGGAAGGAAGGACGGAAGGAAAGCAAAAAAGCATGTATTATCAAGACAGCACCGTAGGCACTGGTACTTTAGTCTGGCGGGGACTCCTAGGAAACAGGGGGCACACACACCTCCCTGCAGAGGGAGCTGTGGTATTCATTCCCCAGCTCCCTCCAGTCACTGGTTGAGGGCTACCCCCAGGAGGCACTAACCCCCTGGCATTTCTGGCCTGCTGGAAATGTGGAAATGCCAGCAGAGTGGGATCCCAAATGCTGAGAGAGCCCTTGGGAGAAGCAGTTCCTGGCAGCTGGAAGTTGGAAGTTGGGCTGATATTTAAGGAAATGGTAAGTACTGAAGGGATGTGGATGGTGCCCTGGCAGTGTCTGACCCCTGCATGGCTCAGATCCAGCTGTGCCCCACATGGATTTTACTACAGCCTGCCATTACTTCTTCAAGTTCCGGTTTCCAGCATGCGCGCGCGCACACACACACACACCCTAGGCAGTTTAGTAGGACAAGCTATGGTCCCTTGGTACAGATGGTCCTGAGTTGCTAACTGATATTCATCATGTCCTTCCTCTAGCAGCCTGTTAGGGAGTGAATTGTATTCTGCCCACAGCCCTCTTCAAATGTATATATTGAAGTCCCAACCCTTACTACCTTAGAATGTGACTGTGTTTGGAGATAGGGCCTTTAAAGAGGGGATTAAGTTGAAATGTGATCCCTGGTGGGGTGGGGGGCCACTAATCCAGTCTGTTTGGTGCCCTTCTAAGAAGAGAAAGAGATACCAGGGGTGAGTGTGCCCAAAGGACGACCTTGCAAAAAACAAGAGGGCAGGCTATCTGCAGGCTGAGGAGAGAGACCTTGGAGGACACCAACCCTGCTAGCACCTTCGTCTTGGACTGCCAGCTTCCAGAACTGCCATAAAATTACTTTCTATTGTTTAAGCCACCCAGACTCTGGTATTTGCAGATGTCAGCCCCAGCAAATTCATACCACACATTCTAGATTCCCTTCACACTTGGCAAGTCTACTGCTTGTCTAGGTTGCTCGACTGGGTGGGATAATATAGATCCTCGTCCTTAAGGGGTCTTAGACCGTGGTTATAAGTCTCTGGTTGTCAGGCCCTGTTTGCTGAAATTGGCAACTTATGTTTATCACAGGCATGGCAACACCCAGAGGCACCCCAGTGAAACTGCTGAGTTCCAGATACATTCCTCCCTCCCTACTCTCCCGATGATGATCACCAACTCCTGCTGGGACAGTTATTCCCTTCTTTTCTTGCTGGTTTGCTGGCATGACTAGGCACCAGCCACCATTTTAGTGGAACCCTTTCCCTGTCCCCCGGTTAATGCATCTCCTGGCAACCACATGGAGCTAGGTGCTCCAGTTCCGCAGAACCTAAAGTTAAAGACATAGGACGCACCGATTTCCCAAGTGGGTCAGTGTGATCTATGGTGACAGAGACCATTCTTTTTATTTTTTTAATTTTTTTTTTTACCGAGTAGAAAGTATTTGTTATTTTTTTTTTACAAATAGTTTATTGTCAAATTAGTTTCCACATAACACTCAGTGCTCATCCCCACAAGTGTCCTCCTCCATGCCCACCCCCCCTCCCCCCCACATCCATCAGTCCTCAGTTTTTGTCAGCATTCAAGGGTCCATTCTTACCCTTACAGAGACCATTCCTACCTCTTTGCTCCCAGGCCTGTGTTTTCTACCTACTGGAGTCAACATATATTACCGTTTTGCAGCCATATAAACACCATATATGACCTCATCTTTAAGACCAGCACCCCAACCCTGCAAGGTATTCTCAAGCTGCCACACTTAATAAGGCCATTCCAACATTCTATCAGGACAGCAGTTTCTAGGTGACGTGGTATACAGTAGACAAAGTGGAGCCCAGGGCCATTTGCCCATTGTTGTACCAACTACACTGTAAAGTGAAGCTCTTGGTGTAAGATATGCATTCTCAGTGGGGGCAGAATTGCTCATAAGGGGGTGAAAATTAGTTCTTTTTGGGCAAAACAAGTCTTACTGTTCTTCTTATGTTTAAAGCACAGATACGCATATGGCACATATACAGAGATGCGGTATATCTATGGTATTAGAATTTCATGGTTGTGGCAATTAAGAAAAAAATGTCTTAAAAGGCTCCATAGGGTAATGAAAAACAATTGGGCAAATACTGGTCTAAGGTAATGTTATGTGGAATTTCATAATGATACATGAGACATTCTTTCAGCCTTTTGATAGTGTTGCTGGCCAAGGCACTGCTAGCAGAAAAGAAGAATCTATTCTTGGAATCAATCCCAGTAGAGGTGAATCTCTGCTCCTTCTAGAGTGGAAAGAGTTTAATGGAATCACTTTTCTACAAAGTGGCTGGTTGGTCTCCTTGGGGGATGATAACATATTTAGGGCTCACCTTCAGCTTCAGGGGCTAAGTGGTCAGACACTTAGCATTAGCCACTAGGGCAGGCCTGGTGAGTGGGGTAGGGGGACTGTAGAGTCTTCATCTCTGCTACCATAGCTATTCTGTTCATGAGTCCACTGAGGAAGCACTGGGGTGGCCAAGGACAGAGATCGGCTAGATGCCACTGGGTAAATCATCCTTGTCACTTGATTGCACTGTGCCTCCTTTGACGAGTAGTTTCTTGTGGGCACTGATGTAAGACACAAAGATTCTACATTTCATTGCCCATTCTTTTGTTTTTGGTCTTCTGATCCTATTCCTTGGTCAATCGGTCAAGTCATGCGGCATTGCCCAGCAGTTACCTTGACCTTCTCTTTCTTTCACATCAGCCTGATGACCAGTTGTGTTACTTGATGCATTGCCCCCTAGGAGCACTTCTCTTCGTCCTAGGTGGGGCTGTAATATAGCAGCAGTCCACATATAGATGCATATAGATGAACAATTAACATAGAGAGATGATTTATTTTTGAACCAGGCATGAGTTCTTTTGCTCTTCTCCATCCACAGGGTTGAAGGAAGCCTCCTCTGAGGCCACAGGTATGAGCCAGAAGGAGAGGCATAGGTGCAGCAGAGGAAGGTGGGGGAGGTATCAGCACTGCCTGTTTGAGTGATGCACTGGCCTTCTGGATTTGCCCTCACCTGTTCCAGAATGTACCACATGTTCCAGAATATACCCCACTTATTCCGGAATGCCTTCTGTACCTGACTCAGGGGGTCTAACTAAGGATAAAATAGTTCAGTAATAACTCTATTCAATATTTATGTTTCCTTTATAACTTTTACAAAATGCATATCTGTAAATGTTACCATGGAGGCTTTCTGGCTTTCTTAGTCCTTCGTGATCTGAGCTTGTAATTTTCTTTGGTACACCAACAGCAGTTGACAGCCACCCCACCTATGGTCCTTATAACTACATTTGGCCCATATCTCTCAAACATCAGGAGTGTTATATAAGACTGTCCTACTGAATCCTGCACTAAGTCACCACAGATGAGGCCTCCAATCACTGTGATGCTTCAGCTTGGAGGTTACCTTTTGTTCCACTTTTGTAAGCAGTGAGATCCTTGTTACCATCTGGCTGGGAAGGAGTCTAATTCGAGTCTCATCTTGACATCTGAATACCACTTCTGACACTGTCTTAGTCTGGGGGCCTGGACTTGAGATCAAGCAGTTCATTTAAGAGGTGTTCTCAGAGAATACTAGTAGTGAAATGGGAACTGAAAAAGGGAAGAGAAAAA